AGGAATGCCCGACCGGTTTGGTCGACGAAGATGCCTTCAAAAAAATCTTCTCTCAATTCTTTCCGCAGGGAGGTAATGAAGGGATGATGATGATAACAACAATGATGATAATGATGATTCCGACTGATCTGTTGAACGATAAATATAAAAGTCTTTTTTCCATCTTTGTAAATTTTTAATTATAAAAATGCTGTTCTGTCTCAGCTTCTTTCTTACATTTCGTTCACATCAGATTCTGTTGATTCTCGAAATTTTCTGATTTCGTGTTAACCGAACTAAAATGAAAGAGTAAATATTAATTTATATATAATTTTTTTACAAGAATAAGAATTTTTTCTAAATTTTGAAAGATTTATATTTTTATTAGGCAAATAAGTCTATCTTATGTTACACGAAGAAATCGTATATAAATCTCTTCTTTAAGTTATCATTACTGTCCCTTTTTGATCACGTGTTGTAGACGCAAGTCAATACGCTCATTATGTCTTCAACACCATGAAGAGGAAACCGTCCGGCAAGATAAGCTTTGAGGTGAGCGATGTCGCAAATAAAATGTTCTGAAAGGAACATGGAATGTTCCCCATGATTTTAAACTCTGCTTTATATTTAATTTACTGATTATAGACGATTCCATTCAAGTTTTACAGGAAATTCATAGGGATTCAGTCTAAGTTATAAATTTTTCTTTCTAAATAGGAATTTCTCACTATATTGTCGAAAGTGTCAAGAGGATCAGTGGAGGAGAAGCTGCAATGGGTATTTGGTCTGTACGATCTGGATGGCGATGGCTTGATAAGTAAGGAGGAAATGTTGGATGTCGTGGGCTCCATTTACGAGATGTTGGGTCGTTACACGCAACCGCAAATCCTTGAGCCGCACGTGGCCGCTCGCGAACACGTCGATCGTATCTTCCATGTGAGTAATACGATATCCCTAATTAGCTAATACAAAAACAGAAGCTAATTACTTATGAGTGAAGATAATTAATAATAATAAATGATTTTATTAAGACTGCAATGTGAATACACCACAAGTAAGAATATTAAAGCCTATGACGGTCGAAGCTAGATCTTTAATGCTTTAAATAATTCAATATGAATTATATATATACTATATATATATACTATATATGTATATGCATATATACCATATTCATTCGAACTGCGCGTCGAATTGGTTTTCCGGATGACGAAGATAATTAATAACAAAATAAAATTTGTAAACATTTTGCGATCTTCCAGGACAGTTAATAATATTACAATTCACTAATTATTCTAAAAAATTTTAATATTTTTAAATATTTCTCATATAATGTATTACATTTTTTAACTTTATTTTTTAATCATAATGATATTTAATGATGGATGATAATTATATTATGACTCGTGTAGTTAATTATTAATAATAGAATAATATTTAATAAAATTGTTAATATTTAATAATTATTAATAATTGAATAATATGAATAATATTTCATGCATATTTTTAGTTGATGGACGCGAATAAGGACGGTGTGGTGACCATCGAAGAGCTGGTGCAATGGTGCTCCAAAGACGAGCAACTGTTGCGAAGTCTTGATACTCTGGACACCGTATTATGAGAATTTACGTTCTATCGGAAATTTCACTATCAGATTACCAAGTACGCTTTGAGCAATGATTATGAAATATCATGAACCTGTTTATCGATCTGTTCTCTTATTTTGTAGAAGAAAGGAATATGTAAATTTTCAGTAATTTAATAATTACGCGTATGAAAAAGAAAAGTTGATTGAAAATATAAAAAAGAATTTTCTTAAAAAAAAAAGAAAAATCTAATTAAATCTGTTTACGAATCGCTAGCCTATAATTTATAAGCGTAATACAAAGTGCAATAATTCGACATTTGCGAGAAGGGAAAATCAAATTCGACCAACCGAAATGTCATTGCTCGAGACGTATTTTTAAGAAAAGGCCCTGGAGAATCATTTCGCACGTATCTTTTGTAAATATGTATGTACTTCGTTACACACCTACCCAGTCTTTCAAATACAACAACTTCCGATACATCATTCAACAATTGAGAATCTAAAAGAATCAACGATTTAAGTTGCCTTCAAAGTTTCACGAAGCTTCACAGAGAGAGATAGCTTTAAGAATTAAAAAAAAAAACGTTGAAATTATATTTAAAAATATCTCAAGTTATTATGTTATATACAAAATTGTTAAATTATTTATTATGTCGGAAAAAATAAATCGCTAGTTCGTTCAGATACTCAATTTTCTACAATAAATGAATTAAAAGTAATCGATAAAAATTTAATCTGCAAAAACAGAAAAGATATTCGTAATTTAATTGAATTTGACGATTTTAAATCGATTTTTGAATTTTTTAATGATTTTACAGAAGAGATGTGCGTCTTTCTTCTTTCTAGAAATTTTTCTGTTGATTCGTATATTTTTAGAAACTTACTATTGGCAAATTCAGTTGGATATACTAGTGTTCATTGATGCTTATTAAAATTGTTGTACATTGTTTAAATGTATGTATATGACTGTAAAAAAGTGAAATGCAAATATTTTGAATTATAATGAAAATATTTTATCTAGCAGCACGATAAAGTATTGAGAATTTCACGTTTAACCGATCTCTATATTAAGCATACATTATTATTGCAATTTGTGTACAATGGCTTTAATATGCAGTAATGAACACTGAGTGCGTCCAATCGAATTCGCTATGTGATATTTGCATAGTGTTTGCGAAGTGTTTAAGCCTCGAAAAATCTTTAATGATATATATTATTCGATTGACTCTTTAAGGGCGTGTCTGCCCTAGCTCTTTAATATTTCCAAATTTAATCTTTTAATCTTAATGTACTATTATGAATGCCAAATTCGGACTTTTAAATCATCGATTACAAAGCAGTATTCTTCTCAGGCCAAGTGAGGAAAACCAATGTTATCCTGTTACTACTTTGCCTCTACCTCGTGTGATTATCCTGTACCTTATTATATAATATTAATAATGTTATATATATAATATATATAGAAATATTATCGAAATTAAGGTAACTCGTCTGCCACATGTGCCGTCAAAAATAATATTTTTTGTATTTTCTTAGCTCTCTCGATATCATTTTTGTTTCAGAATTTTCTTTTAACACCTAAGTCTTTCGACCTCATTGAAGTATTGGATCTTTATATGATCTCGATTATTCGCAAAATTTTTTATTTTTGGAATGCTTTAATTGCACAAAATCTTAATTACTTGAGCATTCTTATTTATAAATATTTTATATTTGATTTCTCTAAAGAAAGAGAATCTTTTTGCACTATTCTATTTCGATCTTCATGGCAGATAAAGTATCAATATCACTTATTACACTATCCAATTGTTGAAGTTTAAGATTTAATCTCTCTGACAGAAACAATTATATATATATGTATATATATACACACATATGTATATATAATTGACTGTTAAAAACATTCTATGACTTTATTCTTGTTCGCAAATGCAATTGCGAATTTTTCGGCGTTGTGAATGCAAAATGCGCCTTTTGCGTATTTAACAAGATTAGCGTGTAGCTTGTACATACGTGTATGCACCTTTGTTAAAACGCATGTACACTCGTGCATATCTGTGAGAAAATAAATCTACCTTTGTACCATGAACCGCTGTATTATTTCAGTCATTTGTCTGTTATATATTCTTAAAATATTACATATACAGATTATTACACGTTTAAATTTTTTTATTTCGGAATCTAACCCGTTTAGGATACATGTTTATATGAACTTTTTTACTTGAGATAAACCAAAGAATCGCTCTATTGAGTATGGCAACATACTTAACTAACACCCTGTGTATATATATATATAAAATTTCACAATGAACAGTTTCTCACACTTGCGAATGTTTTTGATTATTTTGAGTTTGAAGATACCGCTTGCAAAATGGCGGGAAAATATAAACTTGTTTTCTTCTAGTTTCTGACACAAATAACATAATTTTATGTTTATAAAAATTAAATTTGCGAACGTATATAATAAACATTATATTTATAACATTGTGTATGTTTTTCTTCAATAATACATTTCTACCTTTATAGTACTAGTACAGTAGTTGCAGTACTCTCTACACTCTACACAATTCTTTCCTCGAAATAAATATGGCGGACGAGGTTGTACTTGCGGATCGATTGAGGTTATTGTTTCTTGCTGCAACAGCAATTATCGGTCATAACACCTTATCAAATGTCTTATCAAGGTGTGCAAAGTATAACGTGACAATGAGCGAACACGTGTTCGCGAGATATGACTTTAATATGCCATAATTATGAGAATATTTGAGTGGATTTGAGGATAGAAACGAAAATGGCGAAAATACAATGGTCTTTGACGAAGATGCCAAGTATTCTTCGGTAAATTCATAAATATTTGTATTTGTTGAACTTAATATTTGTCAGATCCATCTATTAATTTTTATTTTCTATCACACCAAGTTTATTTCATGCTTTTGCTACTGTTTATGTCAATTGTATTAAAAATTATTGAATTTCAATTTATTGATCCTTTATACCATAAATTTATATAAATTTAATAAGTATGACAATCTAATTCGATTTGTTTTAAGGCGTACTTTAAAACAAAAGTGGTGGCGGCTTCAAATTTCCATCAAATCTTTGTTCTACAATGACTTTTTGAGTTGGAGTTATGTTTGTGATATACTTATGGAACCCATGTTTTGGTTTGTCGAGAACTTCACTTCTTTTTTGGGTCCGGTAAGATTTTTGATATTACTTGTCCTTGTATTGAATTACAAAATTTCATATATTAGCTTTCATTTAGCAGAAAAGATTTTGTTTTAGATTGTTTTATTTCTTTATGCCTAATAATAAACTTTATGTAATTAATTTAGTTGAGTTAAAAAAATCTATATTAGAATTTTGAGAGATATTTTAAAAACTAATCTTTGTGATACTATCAAATTTTAAAAAATCTGATTGATATCAATCAAACTGAAACATATTTTTAAAGATTTTCTTATTAAAGTTACATAACGTTATGTTAACATTAAACTATTCTTTTTTTGCAATTAGTGAATATATTTTATTTATATTCTACAATAAAATGAATAATACTTGGACATACATATGGCTATGTTTATTACATGAAGTTTCATAAAATACTCCATGATACTTCATTCTACTTATGTGTATAATGCAAGCTTTAAGACATTCACAATATATTTACTAAGTGCTGCAGTTCATAGGTGTTTGTGGCAATGGTGAGCCTGCTGACCGTCAGTATTGTGTACATTGCCTACTACATAGGTCTACCCTGGTGGTGGGAACGGAGTCCATTAATAACGATAATCTTATTGCTAGTTGGAAACTGGCTGTTGGTTAATGTCTGCTTTCATTATTATATGGGCGTGACTGTGCCAGCAGGAAATCCACCTCAGGGAGGCCTTATACCAGAGGCTGTAAGCATCTGCAAGAAATGCATCAAACCAAAGCCACCCAGAACACATCATTGTTCTGTTTGCAACATGTGTATCCTCAAAATGGATCATCATTGTCGTATCCTTCCATATTTTATTAATTTATTTTATACACATAGCCAATTTTCATCAATTAATTATATTCACCATAGATTAATCATGCATATGTTAATGAAATGCATATTGTTAATGAAAATTTATATGGTTTTTTGCAATATTCTGTAATAAGTCTTCCTTAATCAACACACAGCATGGTTAAACAATTGTGTTGGCCACTATAATCATCGACATTTCTTCCTATACATGGTTTATACTGTAGTTGGCGTTATGTTCATTATGATATTCGGCGTGCAACTCGCCTATGAGGAGTTCTTCCCTGACCAGGAACCGGAATTAGATGGCCATCCAGTACGCCTTAATAATTCGGAAATAATTCCAATGGTACATTAGCTAATTGATAAATACATTTTATCAACTATCTTTTTTAATCAAAATCTTATACGCATGCTTGATTGATACAGACGGAATCATTAGATCATCTGAGCAAAGAGGAGCTAGCAGAAATAGCAAGACAGGCGGCAGAAACTGAGGCCAAAGAATGGCAAAAAAGACTGATAATTTTTGCGGGTCTGATCTGTATAGCCACATGCGCAGCATTGGGTGCTCTAGCCTGGTGGCATGCTCGTCTCATCACTCGAGGAGAGACGAGCATCGAGGCGCATATCAATAGTGCGGAATCCAAAAAGTATCGTGCTCAGAATAAGTTCTATCAAAATCCTTATGACTTCGGATCGAGGGAGAACTGGAGATTGTTCTTAGGAACAAAAAGCAGGTAGAACTTTTATAAATATTTAAAACGTTAAGTAGCGATTATACCGATTAAAATATAATTAATGATATAAATCATCAACGAAAGACTAGCTAAACGAAAAAGATGCAATGCATATAGTTATAAAATATATCATTTTTACAAAATTTGCCAGAAAAATAAATTTAATTAAAAATGTTAAATTTTGCACAAAAGTTCTTACTGAACCTCACACATTATTTAATTTTATATAATTGATATCAAGGCTTTTTTGAGCAATTACAATTAACTCATGAGATGAAATTCGTTTTAATTACATAAGTACAATGCTATAAATTCAAACGTTTCGACTTACAAAGTCTTCCTCAGTGATAATAAATAATAACTTAATACATAACATATTTAATAATCCCTTACAAAATCAACAAACATATATAATAAATAATAGAAAAATTATAAATTATCGCTCTAAGCTAATCTCACATACTTATTACTGCGTTAAAATATTACGGATCGAAATAGGTATCCAGTCAGAAATTCGAAAGTCATGGTATAAAAATGTGTTTTACTAATTCTTCGATTGTTATCGAGAATCCAGTTCAGTCACAAATTCATAAAAAAATCGAAAAAATCCGACAGTCCGATCGAGAATTTCTTCAACTATTATATTGTTAATTTATATAGAATAGTCTATTGAATCGGAATCAAAAACTGTGTCATCGTGTATAATAAAACAGCTATTGATTGTCAGACGTTTAGAAAAAGACTGAATTGCTCGTTTAAAAAAGCCTTTATGTCAATTATATTGTATTGCATTCACACGAGCCTATTTTTTTTATATTTAATTTTATGTTTATATGGTAATTGTACACTCACGGACTAAAAGGTTGCAATAGATTTTTTTCTTTGGTTTTTGGAATGCAGCCTACTCACCAAGCGATTGATTTTTACTTACGGATCCATAAGTAAGAACTAATCGCTTGGTGAGCAGACTGCATTCCGAAATCCATTAAAAAAAAAGTGTTGCAACCTTTTAGTCGGTAAGTGTACATAATTTCGAGATGCTTATGTTCTTTCAATTTTAATGACTACGATTTTGATTTAAAGGAAATTAGAAATTAAGCTTATTATAATAGCTACTTGAAATTTTGTTTAGCATATAAATTGTTGATACTTTGTCCAATATTATTTTTGTATTTATATAGTCTCATTATTTAAAAATTTGTCTAATATTATTTTCATAATGTATCTTAATATTTTGATTGTTGCAGAAGTTGGTGGCATATCTTATTCCCATCAATCCATGGCCCTTATGGTGATGGACTTACATGGCGAACTATTCACGATAACAAAATCTCTTGATTTTTAACAATTTAAAAGATCAACATCATTGCTGCATTCTAAATTCACATCTTGTGATTTCTCTATTCTTACTTTCCAATATTCTAGTCAGAATTGCAGATTGTTCAAATATATTCATTTATAAATTCTTTCGCTAAGCAATAATTAAAACAAGTAGACTTGTCTGAAATTGCAAAATTATTTTTACATGATAAAAGTATATTACATTACAAAACGATAACAAACGATAGAAAAACATTTGCGAATGTTATACATTTTTGTCTTTAATAATTTGACTCGTTTGAAAACTAATTGATAATTATTTATGTAACACTTAATTTAGCCAAGTACGTTTAATAAAATTGTTTTTTGTACCTTTCGTAAAAGTCGAATAAATTACGATTATTGTCCTTGCGGCCAGACTATACTTTCGATCCACGAAAGATAATGAGACACTCTAGTATAAACACCAGGAATATCGATCATCGCGCAGGCTTTACCAAAACTAGTGACACCAATCAGTTGGAAGAGGCATTCACTCTTAGGATGAACTATTTGGAGAGGACCACCGGAATCTCCTTGGCAAGTGTCCCTGGTCCAGTTGCCGCTAGGATCGCCAGCACAAATCATACTTGGTGTGATACCGTATGGAACTTCTATGGAACTGTTATGCCGTATTGCACACGGCAGATTGTCTATCACATCCAGCTTAGCCTTTTGTAATCGATCGCTCATCTCTCCACCTGAAGTACATAACTTAATTTGAGAATCAGTACTCCTACCTTATAAAAATGTTTAATCTTTTTTTATGAAGGGCTTTGCATTTATTAGGAATCACTTACTACATGTAAGTTCTTAATAAATATAAAGCATTTGGAGAGAGAGAGACATTTAGATTTTCAAAAACATTTAGCTTTACGATTTTTTCTTATAATTTTAGGATTTCATAGCAAGTTTTCGCGTGAGGAACTACCAAACTTACTATATTCGGTGACACCCCAGCCGCTCACCCAAGCCTGTCTGGGCATAGTATCGAATAATTGATAAAGACACGCGGGTCGTATAGATATGCTAAACTTAACAACGGTCATGAGCTGTACCAGAGCTATATCCGCATACATTGCAGGTGGTCTGTAATCCGGATGAGTTTTTATATCTTTAATGACAGTTATGACGCCTTTCTGGTCTGATAAACTGTGGAAGCCAATCCTTGCGTCAGTTATACCGCCACTGCAAAGAGATATAGTGTATAGGACTAGCTTTATTAGTCAAATCCTTAAATAACTGCAAGATATCATACACTTATATTAGTTACAATTTAGATTGCAATTTCTAAAACATTTAAATTAGAAAATCAAGTAGACTTTTAAAATTTTATCATTTTTTCTCAAGATGTATAGTATGTCGAAAAAAAAAAAACACTAGTATTAAATAGTAAAATTTAGGCAAATGAGAGTAGAGTATTAGCTTAAACTATAGTATTAGTAATTTATATGTAATATTAGTCTTAAAAAATATTTTCAAATTTTAGGATTGTACTGGATTTATCGTTGTATTCAGTAAAATAGCAGGAAAATAAAAAATTATTTTTTCGTTAGAATTCTTGAGTTGTTTAAAACGAGAAAAATACTATATATAAGATTTACTCTGTCCCATGAGTGCAATGAGCAGCGGAAATCACCCAGGCATGTGAAATCAACGTGCCGCCGCACATTAGAATAAATTCGTCAAAATTGCGTTTGCCTAGTGCAACCATGTGAGGGAACTCGTCGACACGTGCGTCGGTACCACCAATCACCAAGCGATTTGCACCCCCGCAAGTATTAATCTCCTTACGTACGCCCGACGATAAACCGGCCAAAGATGTTGTCAAAGTCGTACCAGCAATTTCTCCCACGTATTCCTCGCACTCTAAAATTCATTTTATATATATTATAATATTATTACGGTGTATGTTGAATATATAAAGATATATTGAATGTATATAGAGTAAGAAAATTCACATTCAAACACTTTACTTGTTACATTACAAACGTGTATTTATGTAATTTCTTATGCGTTTACATTTTCGAATCTGTAAATTTTTCAGTTCTACATGTTCTTGAAATATACAATTATATTCTACTTACTAAGTTCTGATATCGTTTTTTCTGGATTGATCTTAGAAGGTAACAGTTCCTTCCAGGATGGTACGTGTGAAGTTGGAGGATGAATTTTAGGAGGAATAGGCGTATGAAATGTAAAATCATTATTCGGTGCTGATGTATTAAATACTGGTATATTAAATGTTGATGGATGGTAGGATGGTGGTGGTGTGTAAGGTGTTTGCGAAACAGAACTTGGTGAACTAGGATACTCTATATCAAGTATTTCTCTAGTAGAGTTACGCAAGTTCGACAGAAAAGGATTCGCATTGCTATTAGGAAAGGGATTATAGCTATTATTGGGAAAGACTATATTGGATGTCTGTGTTGAAACAGCATTTGACAAGAATGGCTTTTCGATTCTGTTACCATTTGATGGATATAGGAAAGGATTGTTTTGAATATTGGGACGATTTGAATTGGACGATTGGAGAAAAGGGTTTGTCGCGATGCCGAAACTCAGTTGAACCTTCTCCTTCGAAGTGCCATTATCTAAAAAAATATATCTAAATGTATATGTACATATTAAGCCAAAGTTATAGAGATAAATATCCGTATAAGTATATATATATATATGTGTGTGTATGTGTGTATAAAATTGTATAGCAGAACTGGGATTATATTTAAATTCCCTTGCTAACAAGTTTCCATGACAGAAGCACTAGAAAAAAAATCGAGCATATAACGCTTCCGTTGAAATCGCGACTAATTCAGAAATTCACTAATTAATAATTAATAATTTAATAATTATTAATAAATAAATATATTAATAATAATTAATAATTAGTTAATAATTTTTAGCCATGAATAACACTTGAAACCATAATCGTGAGTTTTTTCTACCGGTGGACCAGACGGAAACCACATCAAGGATCACGAAGATCACTACCAAGCCGAAACGAAAATTCATTGCTAAAGAAAAACGCGTGAGAGACACACGAAGATCAAGTATTCGATGTCACGTCATTTGAAGACGGAAATAAGCTGCTGTGACGATTAACGACGATGGAATCTGCGTCTCTCTCATATTTCATCTCCCTCCTAATTTTATAAAGAATAAAATAAGATGATTGGAAAAGAAGTAGAAAGAACGATAAGAGAGCGCATGAAAGATGAAGGTGGGAGAGTCTTAACAGTCTAAGGTTATCGAAGACATCGACTTTGCAGTTTTTTCAATCTAGCAAGTTTAGCTGGATTTGATCAAACAAGTAACAATCGTTAATTACACACGAATTGTAAAAGTTAAATCATAACATCTCAACAGAGTTTTGTACGTCTGTTAAATTGATAAGTATACAATTTAGAATGTGTTCAGCATAACAGTAACTTCGTAAGTGTAAAGTATAATTAAGAACGCAAGGATAAGTATGCACTATTCGTCTTTGATCAATGTTTGATTGGTCAATTGGAAATCTCCGATTCTGACGCTAAAGCGGATAAACCGGTCGGCGTATTCTACAAAAATTGACGAGATAAAATGTCGATAAAACAGGAAAAAAACAAACCAATCAGTATTACTCATCAATACACAGAAGTATAAGAAATATGACACAAAAAATCTTACATAGTAAAATGTAAGCAGTGAGTAAAATCAACATTTTGGATTTGCTGTTACTTAATTACATTATTGCCTTACATTTTCTACTGTGATTGGCCAATTGGCTTACTGTTTACTTCTGTTTTATGTGTTTTTGTATGTCTTTAAAAGTCTATAATTTTATAAAAATGAAAACGTACGTACATATATTGACAGCGCGAAGAACTAAGTAGAAGAAGAAATAAAATAAAGAGAAATTATTTAATAAGTAAATTGGAGAAAGTAAAAAAACTAACATTTATATTAAATTAAACTATTCAACAATAAATTATTATATAGAATATACACACAAAGTTTAAGAATAATAAGATTTATTATCAAATGACTTTGTAATAAATAGAAAATAAATATTTTCCTTATTATACGAACACTTAAAAAAATTTGGAATGAATTAAAGCTGCATATAAATAAATTTCACGATTTATTTAAACATATTCTCGATGTAATAATGATATTACAGGAAACCCGAATAACTGTAAATAATAAACACAATAAATAAATAAATAACAAATATAAATATTTTCTTAATGTTCATGCTATGTATTTCGTATTAATTATACATTCTTCTGACTTTTACATCAATTTACATATAATATACGTTAAAATTTATATTATAATGTATTTACATGCAATGTATTTTTATATAAATGTTTACAACAAGTAGTATAGTTGCCCATGCCTTAAATATATTTGTCTAATGCGAACATTGCAAATATGCGAACATATTTCTAGTTTTCCGTAATTCATTCATTACGAGAGTAGTAGTCGTATGTAGAAGATGTAGTTAGAGATAGGAGTCTAACTGCCTAAGAAAAAGCATGCAATCAGATATAAATATGATAGCGAAATTATTTGTGCAAAATTTAAACCGATATGTTTAAAAGTAACAATAAATAATTTTACTTATTAAATTTCATACAAAATAAAATATACGTATATGACTCAACCATTGAGTCAAATAATACATATTAAGCTGGGCATCATATAATCTCATTAATAATATAATACAATGCAAACTGAAATCGTGCAATAGCAAAAATAAACGGAACGAATTATTAATCTATAATTCATTTTGCATTATACATAATTGTATATACTATATAATAAATTAAATTTTACTTATCAAATTACTTTTTTTCATTTAATCTTATTAAATTGGAAAAAATTTTAAATTTACAATTTGAACAATATAAGTTTCATTAACATTATCTTACCTTTCAAAATCGATTAGTCTATCAGCTTCGCGGAAACCAGTTTCCACGCCGCCGTGTACAGTAGAATAATAATGATCGTGCGTAGCTTCTCCAGCGAAAAGAATTACCTAATCATTAAGATTCATTTCATCAATGTCAAAAGAATTTCTTTTACAAGACAATTCAGTAATTTAAACATAAATTAAAAATAATAATTAAGTAATAAACTATAAAAGCTAAAAATAAAAAAATTTTAGTTTAGATATATTATAATATTATCGAATTAGATGAAGACCTAATATAAAACAATGAAAAAACTAATAATGATATTTCAAACAATAATTTGCGTAATAATTAAAAATGATATTTATTTTCATTATGCTTGTAATACTTTTATTTTGAGATTACGTACAGGTTTATTTCCAGTCATAATCGGCTCTGCCAGATCTCTCGGTGTTACATTCATTTGCTCCGAAAGCATGCTTTGAAAACTGTACGAACCTCGAAAATGTTCATTGGTATACCATTTAGACCTAAAAGCATAAAAAAAAAATAGTTAAACAGATCTAATTATTTTTCTTTCATTCAGTTCCAAATGTGGTAAATTACCTTAACATTCTTGTTGGTTTTGTAACGTTATAATGACTTTCCAACGCCTCTTTCAACAATAAATATAATCCATCAAGTACATCAGCATCCGATAAAGTTTCCATATGTCTTGCGTTCTTTCCAGTTATCCAAGCACATAAGAGATTCGGCTGATAAGCCACAACAATAAACACGAACACATCGCAGAGCCACTCGCTATTCTAAAACAAATATATTTGACAAGATTAATAGAAGGACAGTAAAACAAAAAATCGTCGAAATTTATTTTTAATAATAAATTATTGTTCACTCCCATATAGTACAGAATTTTCAGTTATATCGCTGCAAAATCTCTACATGCAATGTTATTGCAATGTTGCAACAGTGTTGCTGCAACTTTTATGCAACTTTGTGCTGTAGGGATTATAATCTCTTTAGTTTCAATGGATTTTCGATTGTTTATTTACTTGACCATAAGTTTGCAAAAATTCCTTCTTATCTTTTTCCGGCCAGATAAAATCAAAGACGGTTTTATCCTCCGGCCACCATGTGTGTGAAAATTCGAGAAAAATCTTGTCCGCTGTTCCAATATTTAATCCCTGATGGCGAAGTAATGATATTAAAAGTATTATCAATCATGTAATATATAATCATTTCCTTTTACTGTGAATAAAACCTCTATCGCGCGTTGTTTCTTCTGCGACAAAGGTGGCACGAACATCGATGAATGTTTCTCCTTCAGAACACCTAGAGACCCAGTGAATATAACATGCGATGCGGAATACTCGCATCCGTCTCTGGTAATCACCGTCACATTTTCGCCTGAACTATAATTGCAAATTGTCACAACTTTTCCGAACTCTATCTTTTCCATTACTGGCAAACGTTCCTCTGGATTTGGAATTTTTTGCTAGTAAAATGATTACATACGTTTGATTAAAGAAAATAATAGATAAGATATTAATTATATTACTTTATTAAAATGTATTATAAAATATTTTAGGAATGAATTGAACATTCTTTATATTTTTTTATTTTCAAATAACGATCACTATTTTTTTTATAGAACATATTTTACACTTTATTATTATGTAAAATGAAAGATTATTGAAAACACTTTTATTATACATTTCTGGTAGCATACTGACGTCAAAATGACGTCAAAATTATAATAATTAAAATGACGTAACTTATTATCAGGGATCGCGTTTCTAATTCGATATTATCAAATAATTTAGATAATCTTTTACCAATAGTATATCAAAAATCGTTTTATAACCACGCCCTTTCCAATTCAACGTAAGATCGCCTTCGCATTCCCAATATTCTATGGAACGTTTCACAGAAACGTCAAACCATGTGTCACTGCAATCTACAGAGTTTTGCATTTTTTCTATCAAGGATAAATAATCAGCAACTCTAGTACGATTCATGAAAGGCTTCTCGTCAAAAGCTTTATAATATCTACAACATTAATATAGTAGTGATTCAGTATATTTATCATAATATTTAAAAAACGAAAAGCTGGCTCGTAGTCCCTTTCTTTTCGTTTTTTTAATTTTATTGAGCCTTTTTTTCCAATAATACGGAATAATACATATTAAACGTTAAATTTATAAATTTCTATAAATAAAGAAAGGTCTCTAGAATATAAATAATATTTTTTTGTAACTTAATTCAATAACATTAAGAAGTTATTCAAGAATAAAGGCTTAAGTATGGGCGTCTTCCCCCCAATTACCTTACAAAAGTTTTTTGTAATTAAAGCAAATCAAGTCATTCATATACAAAAGTTTTTCGTAATTAAAGTAGAACTCACGGTAATATCAAAATGACTAAAAGTCATTTTTTTAGTAAACATTTTAGAGCCATTTTAACATCATGATAATTTTTTTGTTCTGTTTAAATATATTTTTCAATTTATTGTATATGATAGATTTTAGAAACATATCTGTTAAAACATTTCATATGACATATTACAGAATCCTTTCAGAATTGTTGCACATGAGATGTGAAAAGTTGAAACAATTCTGAAAATTTTCCGCAACAATCGGTGCTGTATGGGTGTATTAAAAAAAAGGTTATTCAAAAAAAGTAATTATAACGGTATTTTGCTATCAGCAAATAAATTTTTCATGTATAATAGATATATATTTGCTGATATAAAAGATGGTATTGCTGCTTGTAATAAATTCCTTGTGCGTTAGCGACCTCGAATTGCTTATTACAAGCAACGCATAATAATTACGCACGGTAGCATCAATGGGCGTGCATTTAGCGATATGGTCTGATAGATGTATACGCGCTTATTCGGTGATTCGGTAACCTTTAGAAATTAAAATCTCGTTAACTATTTCGAAAATTACAAGAACTTTTCGACTTAATTTAGTCATCTCTACCTATATACAAAATATTTTGCAGCCATTCTAGGACATCCTGTATATAATATACATATAAATGAAAATTTTATTTAAAAAAGCTTTCACTTATTTTCTAATTAATTTGTATTGCAATTAATATGTATTCCTTATGTGTGTGTACTGTAAAAAAAACAAAAACTTACTCTCTTATAAAGTAATCTCCTAAAGATCCTCTTTCGTTTTTGAATTCTATCTGTTTCATTTTATTCGAAATATTATCATAAAGAATTAGA